AATTCACCTATAAAGCATCTGGAACTGACGTTTTCTTTATAGGAAGATTTTAACCTACTAATTTAATTATCTAATAATTATAGGACAATTCAGGTTTTCTATTTTTCTAGGCATTTGACAATTTCATTTAAGACTTCAAATTTATGGCATAAAGGTCATTTATAATATTCTTATATTACCCATCTAAAGTATGTTCCATCTATAATTATATCCTTTCTTTCATTCCTAATATTGTTTATTTGTGCTCTCTCTTTTATCCTAATTAATCTTCTAAGCAATTTGTCTAATATTTTTAGTCTTTTCAAAGAATCATCTTTCGTTTTCAGTCTTCCTTCTCTCTCTGTCTGTTTTCTATTTCATTAATTTCTAATCTACTCTTAATCATTTCATTCCTTCTACTGCCTTTGGATTTATTCTACTCTTTTTATTCTAAATTTTTAAATTGGATGTTTAGCTTATTAATTTTGAGCTTTTCTTGTTTGCTAATATGAGCATCTCAGGTTATAAACTCTCCCTTAAATACTGCTTTGGTTGCATCTCACAAGTCTTGATACAAATATTTTTGTTATTGGTACATACTAAGTATTTTCTAACTTTGGTTATGATTTCTTTTTTGGCCTGTGAGTCATTTAGGTATCTGTTCCCAAAAGTTTGAGCTTTTTTTAGTTATCTTTTTGGTTATCAACTTCTAACTTATTTGGATTGTGATCAGAGAATATAATCTGTGTAAAAATTGTGCTGGATGCTGTGATTACTGCCCCAGTCCCCCTGAAGGAATGAAGGACTTATTCCCCCAGCTCTTGTGGGAGCTGCTGGAAGGTGACCCTCAGCTGTCAGCCTCTGGGAGTTGCCTGGGCTGAAGGAATTGCCTTACCCGACCGAGGTCATGCCTCCTTCAGTGAGCAGCCTGCATCCAGTCAATGTGGGAGGATAAAGGCCCCAACCCAAGACAACTCGGAAGGACCGGCCCAACTCCAGAGCTCTCCACGAAGTTGGCTAAGGCTTCTCTCGGTTCTGCATTGCAGCTCAACACCTCCAGCTGTGTGAAGCTGCTTCATCCCCTCCCTTCCCCAGGGGCCAATCCCAAGAGCGTTCCGTATAAGCTTCCTGCACCCTAATCTCCATCTCAGAGTCCAATCTGTGACCCCAAGCCTTGAAGTTTGCTGAGGTTCGTTTTATAGTCTATCACCTTCTCTGAATGATCTAGGTATGCTTGAAAAGAGTGCGTTTGGGATTCCATATCCACATGTCAATTATATGAAACTTGTAATTGTGTTCCTCAAATCTTCTCTGTCTTCACTGAGATGGTATAAAAGGACCCCCTCTTGAAGGTACATCTGTCTATTCTCGTCCTTTCCATTTTTGTTTGTATGTTTGGCAGCTGTGATATTAGGTAGCTATAAATTGAGAACTGTTACAGCTTCAGGTTGGCTTGAGTCTGCCATCATGACCTAGTGGCATCTTATCTCCAACAACGTTTTTCTCCCTTAAAGTCTATTTTCATCTTTTATGAATGCAGCCACAGCAGCTTTCTTTGAGTTACTATTTGCCTAGAATATTTTTTCTATATTTGGACTTTCAGCATTTCTGGGTCCTTATGTTTCAGGTATATCTCTTGTAAACAGAACATAATCTAGATATTGGAAAAATCCAGTTTTTTTATGTGTACTAATATATAGCTTATATATCTAGAAGAATTTCCATAGTCTTATAATGTATTTTCTATTCATTCTAACTGTTTCTGCCCCCAGCCCTCTTCGTTGCCTTTCTTTCAGTCATTTGAGATTTTTATCACCTTTTCTTATCCTAATTTTTCTGTCTAATTGTTTAGAAGTTATGCATTCTGTGAATAGTTCTTCCTGCTTCTCCTAGCTGTTTCAACACTGAGCACTTAACTAACAAAGTTTAAACTTAATCAATGTATTTGCCCTCCTCCCAAGTAATGGGAGGGATTGAAAAACTTAATTTTGACCATCCCTCCCCAAATTACATGGTGGTGTCCAGTATTTTAGTACTGACCGTTTTTGTCCTACCATAAATTAGACACTATTATTGTGGAGTCGTACACTCCATGTTTTTTTAGTTTCTCTCCAAATATTTGCCAATGTCTTTGCCCACACTTCCTTATGTACCTAGCCTTTTCTCTGGCATAATTTTTATTCTGCCTGAAGCACATTACATTTAGACTTTTCTTTAGTGAGGATATCTGGATGGTAAAATCTCACAGTTTTTATTTGTCTGCATAAGTCTTTATTTCACCCTCGTTCTCGAAGGACACTCTAGAGTCCTATGCTGACAGTCATTTTTCCTCAGGGCATTGAAGACATAATTCCACTGTCTTCTGGCTTCCAGTGATAACAGTGAGAAGTCAGCTGTAGATCTGTTGATCCCCTGGAGATGACCCTTTTTCCTCTGATGCTTTTAACATCTTCTCTTTTTTTGCGATGTTCTGCAATTTCAGCAATATGTATTTAGATGCAAATTTCTTTTTATTTACCTTGCTTGGGATTCGCCAGGCTTCCTGGATCTGAGGTTTGGTACTTGCAACAATTCTACAACATTATCGGCCATTATCTCTTCATACATTGCCTGTTCCCCTACTCCATGATCTACTTCTGGAACTCTGAACAGGTGTACCTTAGGCCCCCTCACTCTATTCTCCTGGACCATTGCTTTGGCTCTACAGTTTACCACTCCTCTCTGGCTGTATCTAATCTGCTGTTCAATCTGTCCATTGAGTTCCAAGTTACAAGTATTGTATTTCTCACTTCTGCCAGTTTGCTTTGGTTCATTTTCAAATCTGACTGTTCATTATAGTCTCTTATTCCCAGCTCACGTTTTCAGATTTCTCTCTTATTTCCTTAAAAACACAAAAATAGTTATTTTAAATGTGTTTGTAGTCTCTGTATGATCATTTCAAATCTCAGGGCTTTAAGGATCTATTTCTATCGTCTCTTGTTTCTGCTGGTTCTCTTTTTCTCCTGGTGAAGTTTACTATTTTCCACTGTGAGCTGTTCTTTTTCTTTGGAACTTTGTTTGTGGACATTCTATAAGGCTGACATGTAGTTGAATTCCTCGAAAGAGGTTTAGGGCTTGCCTCTGCCATTCAACCCGGCTTCTAACAAGCAGGGGCCACTTTAAATTCTCCACTTGAGTTTGTTTGAACCATGCAAGTAGCAGGAATGCAAACCAAGAATCACACGAGGGCCAGCTTGTGATTACAAATTCCCAAGAGAGATCTTTTTTCTCTCAACCCAGCGTCAAGGTCAGAACATGCAGGTTTCCCTTCCTGTTCTCTCCTGCAGGGTGACATTGACTCTTCATTCTTTCCTACACTCTGGACACAGCCCTTTGGACACTAACTCTGAAGGGGTCTCCTGGCCCCCCCAGGCGTGGCGCCCAGCGTATCTCCTGTGCCTTGCACCTCATGCAGCCACAGAAGCAGAAGGTCAAAGGCTTCCACTTTCACTCCATTTTGGAGAGCCATCATTTCTCTACTTTCATGCCAAGTAAGTAATACGTAAAAAAAACAGTTTTCTACAAAAATATTTTATCCAGCATGTTAATTATAGTCAGGGGAGCTATTAAAGGTATCTAATTGGGTTGAGTGCCAGAAACAGTTCTTTCTGAGCACTTTCCAGAACTTTCTTTGGCCTTTAGCCAGTTCTTCTGTACTAATATACACTACAGCCTACTGTAACTATCCATGGGTTTGTTGTGGTGGTGGTGCTCCCCTCAAGACCACGGGCACCTCAAGGGCCAGGAGGAAGGGGAGGTCAGCATTCTCAATGCTGATGTGGGCATGGACAAGGAAGGCACCTGAGAAATGTGTGGAGAAAGTTGAACAAATAGATGAATGAATGAATCCTCGTTATAACATCTAACCGGCTTCATCGGCACACTCTGGATTTCAGGTACAACCAGTGCCCTAGGCCTGTCTCATGGGATCTCCGAGTGTGCTGGGAGGAAGCATGGGATGCGTGCAGGACATCTGCACGTCACTTACTGTTAATTACAGCGTCACCTTGGGACGGAGGACCACGTCTCAACCAGGATATGGTCACAGAGAGCCTCAAAACTGGACAGTAAAAAATAAGTTTTAATGCCACAAAATGAAAATATTTTTTGCCAGTTGGAATCACACCAACCAAATTTGGGGCCTGTGGATTTTAGCAGCCCTAACCAGAAGGCCCCACCGACGGGTGTCAGAGCCTGGCAGAGAATAAGCTGGACTGTCTGATGGAGGGTGACTGCCTCAAGCCTCATCTTTCTTAAAATGGAACGAGTCCTGGTACCTAAATATACACGGGTCTTTCAAAACTTTGCTCCTCTCCCACCTACCTTCACACTTCTGACTCAAGGGGGAAAAATAACCCACCAGCAATTCATCTTCTTCAAGGGCTGCCGGCAAGCTGACAGATTTTTTTCACAGCTAAGTTATTTCTGATCTTGGTCCTGGCAAAAAGAAATATAGAGCAACCGTGGCTGGGAGACATTCGGAAGCTGTGCCAAGCCAAACAGTGTCGAACAGTCTGCATCAGATCCGCCAACCTTGCAAAAGCGTATTTTCCCTTCACAAAAAAATACCTTAAAACGCTCGCAACGTAAAACCAGCGAAGACGAGGGTCAGGAAGGAAACTCTCACCAGTTATAATGTGAGGCCGCCTCTCAGCCCGTGAACATGTGGCCTCAGGGCTCGTGAAGAATCACGAAACACTGGAGCGAGGCAGGCCCAGAGGGCCCTGGGGACAGCGACCCTCGGAGTGAAGAGCAAGTCTGTGAGTCAGACAAAACCGGGCCAGGCCATCCTCACTTCTTCCCAGCTGTGCGACCCTGGGCTAGTCACTCACTCTGAGTCTCCATTTCCAAACACAAGACAGAGCTGATGTTAATAACCCTACCTCATAATGCTGTCAGAACAATCAAGTAACATCATACGTGTAATTGTATATAATGACTGCATTTAGTGAAACTCTAACACAAGCTAAGTGCTCACTGTGTGAGACACGCTATATTTTTATTGTTGTATCCACACTTACGAGATGATCATGATGGTGACGGCGGAGAAGAAATTGAACCTGAGAGAGAAAGAGATGTAATTGGAACCATTTTAAAAAGCAGTCAGCTGCTTCCCGACAGAAGTAGGATGACAGCCCAGCTCTCCTGACTCCCAATCCTGTATTTTGAACACCACTGCCCATTTCTAATACTGTAGTCATACTTTTACTATTACCATTAACTAAACCTCTAAAGTGGCTTACTGCTTACTACACACATCTTCTTGCTTCTATTTTATGTCGATTTTGTGACAGAATCTCAGTATACCCATTTTGCAGATGAAGAAATTGAGGCACAGAGAAATAAAATAATTTGTCCAATTCCAGCAAGTCAGCATCAGAACTGAGATTTGGGGGCCGGCCGTGTGGCTGAGTGGTTAAGTTCGTGTGCTCTGCTTTGGCGGTCCAGGGCTACACTGGTTTGGATCCTGGGCGCGGACCTACTACTGCTCATCAAGCCATGCTGAGGCAGCGTCCCACACAGCAGAGCCAGAAGGACCTACAACTAGAATAGACAACTATGTACTGGGGGGCTTTGGGGAGAAAAAGGAAAAATAAAAAGAACTGGGATTCGAACTCAGATCTCCTGGCTCAAGAGCTGCCTCCTTTGTGGGAAGGTCAGCCCTGCTCTTCTCTTCTAAAACATCAAACTAATATTTACTGAGGCCAGGTCCTGTGCTCACTCCAGGGACACAGAAATGAACCAGAGCCACTCCTTATCCTGGGGAAGCTCACAGGCTAACAGGCCAGACAGACATTAAAGAAATAAACAGAGGCTTCCAACAGACATGGCGGATTCAACACCGGAATCTACTTTTTTCCCCTCCCAAAACCCTATTAGAAGGACAGTAAAGGGACTTCTTTAAAAGCCAGAGACTCAGAAAACCAAAGAAGATGGGAGAGGAGACAGCATTAACCAAATTTAGGAAGCTGAAAGCAGACGGACTGACTTTGCGGGTGAAGAATCCGAATCGTAAACTGAGGGTGAGGAAAGTTAAGGCCGACTGGACTTAATCCCAAGTCCCGGGAAGTGAGTGGGTCCTGGCTAAAATGAAGAGGAGCACGGATCGGTCCTCTGCTCAAGGAAGAGTTAAAAACCCAGAATCTTCTCCCGAATTCTAGGAAACCAAGTAACAAACCCCCACGACTGCTCCCCGGCAGAAGCCTTGGGGTTTGTCCTCTGGGGAGCGTTAGACAGAGACCCTCTGGGCAGCTGTCTGCGGGACGTTACGAATCCTAGGATTTCATCCCCACGCACTAGTAGCAGCCTGGCTTCACCCTCCAGGCAAGAGATTGGAAGTGCTTTCTCTGGGTAATCTGACCAACCCAAGGGCAGAGATTTTTAGATACAGATATTAATGTTTCCCAAACTAAGCAACCCAGCCAAAGGGCTCAGAGAAGCTCACCCCACCAGGCCCCACACGCTCAGGAAGACCAGTCAGCTCCCAGCCCCAGCGAGCAGACAACCAAACTGTGTGAGATGTGGGAGGAGAGCAGGGCTCCTGAACAGTGAAGACCGAACAAGCAACAGCCAGAGAAAAGCAACTTGGAGGAAATAGAGACTATTTCGGGGGAAGAAAACTTAAAAAAAAAAAATCTACGAATGGCATTCTTAGAGAAAAATATTGGACCCATGAAACAAGAACAGGATGCTATGAAAAATGAACATTCAGAGAATTCAAAAAGAGCTCTTGGAAACTAAAAAACAGCAGAGATTTAGGCGCTCAGTAGAAGAGTTGGATTTTAAATTTGAAGAAATATTCTAGAAAGTAGAGCAAAAAGACAGAAGTGGAAAATAGGAGGTGTGGTGGTGAATTTTATGTGTGAACTTGACGGGATCACAGGGTGCCCAGATAGTTGGCTAAACATTATTTCTGGATGTGTCTGGGAGGACATTTCTGGATGACATTAGCATTTGAGTTGGTAAACTGAGAAAAGCAGACGGCCCTTCACAGTGTGGGTGGGCCTCATCCAATCCGTTAAGGGCCTGAATTGAATGAAAAGGCAGAGGAAGGGAGAATTTGTTCTCTGCCTGGCTGTTGAGCGGGGACATCAATCTTCTCCTGCCCCACCCTTGCACCGGAACTACATCACGAGCTTTCCAGGGTCTCCAGCTTGCAGATGTCAGCTGGTGGGAATTCTCAGTCTCCATAATTGTGTGAGGATAGAGGGAGAGAGTGAGCCAATAAGATATATACATGAAGATGGATGTAGCTATAGATATAGATCCTATGGGTTCTGTTTCTCTGGATAAGACAGGAGGAAAAAAATGGAGAGGTATAACATCCAATTAACAGAACTTCCAGAAAGACACACCAGAGAAAACAGAAGGAAAGAATTCATCAACAATTCCAGAAATTTTTCCAAAACAAAATATAGATTTCAAGGAGACCCACCAAGCACCCCTCTGGGCAATGCATCAAAAGAGACTCAGACGAAGGCACACATCATGGTAAAACTTGAGACCTGGGGACAAAGGGAAGATCCCACAAGCTTCCAGGGAGAGGAAAAGGTCACAGGGGAGGGTTAGGAAGAGCTTTGGAGTCCTCAACACCGCTAGCAGCTGGCAGGCACAGGAGAAAAGCCCGCAAAATGCTGGAGGAGAAGTATTTCCAAGCTAGACTTCTTTACCCAGCCAAGCTATCAATCCAATGTGGGGACAGAATGAAGATCTTTTTATACATGCCAGGTCTTGAAACATGTACAGTCGATCCTCATTACTCGAGGATTCCTTATTTGAGAATTCATCTACTCCCTAAAATTCACATGTAACCTCTAAATCGATACGGTGATTTTTGTGGTCATTCACAGACACAGGCAGAGGGCAAAAAATTTGAGACACCTCAGGTAATGCTCTGCCTTCTTGTTTCAGCTCTCATGCTGTCAACCAGAGCCCTTCTCACAGTCTATTTAGTGCCATGGCTTTTGCATTTTTGTGCTTTTTGTGGGTGATTTCGCAGGTGAAGTTGGTCTCACATGTAGTACTGAGGGCTATCTAGGGTTCCCAAGCACAAGAAGCCTGTGATGTGCTGTATGGAGAAAATATGTGCGTTAGATAAGGGAGTAAGTCAAGAAAGGGGAAAATATGGGATACGGGAAAAAGGAGGGAGGCAGGGGCACCCCCAGGCTGCTAGGGGAAGGAGACCCCAGGACAGCAGCCATGCCCCAGGCCTGGGGAGAGACCAGTCCACCAGACACAGGTTCCTCCAGCAGTGGAGAAGGCCTGGTGCATTGCAAGTCCTGTGAGGAAAGTTTGGGGCTGAGTTATTGTCAATCGCATAGAAAACTAAGCAAAGAAGAAACACGACAATTTTGAGCTGGGGCGAGGGTAGCACTGTGTGGGGGAGGGTGTCATAGGTACGGCCTTTTCTCCGTCTTAACACTTGTGTAGCACTTTCTCTATCCGGCCCTGTTTGAAGCTAACATTTTATATGACTTGACTCTTTTAAAGCTATAGCCCAGCCAGGCTGGGGCCACGGCTATCAACCAAGAGGGTGAGTAACCTGTCCAGGATCACACGGCAGGGAGGGGGCAGAGGGAGGACTGGAATGAGGCAGGTGGCTCCCGACTCACGTCTTCTGAAAATGGAAGCGACTGACGTTCTCAGACTGTCTGGAGAGTTCTGAGGACACGGGAAGGTGTGGCGGGGCGGGGGGGAGGAAGGAAACAACAAAATCCTCACTTTCCAGAATGAGAAGTCAACCCATAAGGCTGACAACCACAGATCTTCCTCCACTCACGATGCGATTACGTCCTGATAAACCCATCGTACATTGAAAATATCGTAAGTCGAAAATGCATTTAATACACCTAGCCTACCGAACGCCATAGCTTAGCCTAGCCTCCCTTCAACGTGTTCAGACACTTCCCTTAGCCTAAAGTTGGGCAAAATGATCTGATGCAAAGCCCATTTCATAATAAAGTGTTGACTATCTCCTGCAGTGTATTGAACATGTACTGACAGTGAAAGGCAGAATGGCTGTACGGGTGCAGAATGGTCCTGAGCATATTGGTCTTTCACCCTCATGATCACCTTGATGACTAGGAGCTGCGTCTCGCTGCCACAGCCCAGCATCAGAAGGGTCTGGTACCACACAGCGCTAGCCCAGGAAAAGATCAAAACTCAAAATTCCAAGTACGGCTTCTACTGAATGCGTATCACTTTCACACTATCGTAAAGTCAAAAAATCGTAAGTCAAACCGTCGCAAGTTGGAGACCATCTGTACAAAAATCAAGATTCAGTCCCAGAGGCACAAAGGTAAAAACCAAAATAATTAGTTAAAGGAGGTGAGACAGCTGCCTCTGAGGAGGGCATATGGGAGAGAGTTGGGGAGAAAGTGGCAGGAAACTGCTGTTTTTCTTAACAAACCCCCTAGAACTATTTGCCTGTATAAGTTGGCTCAAAATAAAAGCTAAAAATAAAGAAAAGAAATAAACAACGTCCCTTGATCCTAGACAGAGCCTGCACGCCAGGGCTGCCAGGGTGGGGCCTGGGGTGGGGAGTCGTCCCTTTATTCCTTGTTTCTCTGACTCTGCCTTTGACCTGGTAGATGCCCCTCTGGCCCTCCAGCATCATCAGGGCCATTTCCCCGTGTGAGTTATGGTTGAAGACCCCAGCAAGGAGTCGCCTGCCGAGACCCCAGCTGCATACACCTTCCAGCTCAATCAGAGGCTGCTCGTATTGACAGATCCACGTCGACTGCAAATGAAGGATCCTCCAAGGGACGCCCTGCCTGGCCTCTCCTCCCAGAACCCTAAAAGAAGCCAGGCTGCCGAGGGCTGTCACGACACACACTAATGACACAGGCACAGGCTGACACGTCAAGAGACTCTCAAGAGACACGCTCAGCACCTGAGGTCACAGAGACAAAGTAGCATCCATCCAGGGGGGGCTGCCTCAGGCAGGCAGGAGACCTCATCCCATCTCGCGCCCCGACCCCAGCCCAGATGGGACTCCCTGAGCCTTTCTCCTGACGCCCCCACGCAGACTCATCGTTGTGGGTGGCAGCTTTTACTGAAGATCCCCAGGTGATGGCCCCCTGGTCATCGGAGACTGAGGAGGGGATGCTTGCTGCATACATATCCCCGCTCTTCCTCTTTGCGTCAAACTCAACAACGGACAGACGCTGCTGCTGACCAGAGGATTCCCTTCCTTAGGGGCATTTCAGATCCTAAAGGAGCACCTTGGTTCCTTCAGAGCTGTGACAACTGTGTGTCCTCTAGTTTGCCCCTTGGCCCCTCACAGTCCAAGCGGACGCCGAGCTGGTGGAATTAAATCTTCTTGCCTGTTTCGCAGGGCTCCTGTGAGGGCCACATGAATCATTCAGGCTGGGGTATTTTGGGAAATAGAAGGGCGAGAAATCCAAAGAATATTTTGAGAAACGCAAGCAATCAGCCCTCTCAGATGTTAAAATAGATGAATAAGCCCCAGATTAAACAGCAGAGCCGGCGCAGACAGAACAGAATGGAGCGGAGAAGGCTTCCTGTATAAAAGAACTTAATATATGATAAAGTTGTTCTCAGGAGACAAGGAACAATGGAAGGAGTAGCACATGAAGTCACTTTAGATGCATTCTTCCCGTCTTTCACAGAGACTGGAAATAGATGGTTTACAGAGCAAATAAAGTCTTAGGGAGACTGGCCAAAAATACAAGTGAATATTGACCATATTTCTGGAGGAATGGGACATTTCCAAGCTTTAAAATCATTGAGGAGATTTTTTTTTAAGAGGAAAAGAGAACAGATTTGATTATATAAAAACAAAAAGTCTTCTGCACCACAGAAAAAAATTAGCAGGGAGAAAAATAGGCTGACAACCAAACAAATGGGCGAAGGTTAATAACAATAATCTCTCAAAAAACTACACTCGTTGGTAAGAAAAGCCTTAAAGCCACAGGGTTTTTGTTTTCTTTTATTTTTTGGAACTTGACAAAATAATACCAAATTTCTTCTGGAAAAATAAACATGTGAGACCAGCCAGGGAAATTCTAAGAAAAAACAAAAGTAATGACGGAGGACTGGGTTTGCCAGATGTTAAAATGTATTACGAAAGTGCAATCATTGTCAAAGTTTAGTGCTGGAAAAGAACGGGATGCTCAGTCCAGCCCAGAGAAGAGAAATCGACGGAAAGGTGGGAACTGAGCATGTGAAAAAAGGGAGGGCATTTCACATCAGAGGGAAGAGATGTGTCAGTCAAAGCACGGCACTGAGATGACTGGGTAGTCAGCCACCTGGGAAAAATAGAGTTGAACCCCTGCCTCACCCCTTCTACCCAAATAAATTCCAGATGGATCCAAGATTTAAACAAACAAACAAAAATGAACCCTAAAAATTCTAAAAGAAAACATAGGTGAAGTTATTTATAATCTTGGAAAGGAAAGATATTCCTAAACAGGATACTCAGAATCCATAATAAAATTCATTTGAGGAAATAAATGAGTGAGAAAGCCAAAGGCTATTTTCAGAAAGATGAGAGGCTGGCCCAGTGGTCTAGTGGTTAAGTTTGCACTTTCCGCTTCGGCAGCCCGGGTTTCGTCAGTTTGGATCCTGGGCGCGGACCTACACACTGCTCATCAAGCCATGCTGTGGTGGCATCCCACATAGAAGAACTAGAATGACCTACAACTAGGATGTACAACTATGTACTGGGGCTTTGGGGAGAGAAAAAAAAGGTAAGGAAAAAGCCCGTTTGATGTTAACATACACAATTAACCGAGAGCTGAGAAACAGTCTTTCCTACATAAAGTAACTCAAACCATGATAACAGTGTCTTCTCCAGCTAATGAACAATGGGAGGAATGTTGAATGAATGGAGTTGGGAGACCACGTCGGGAAAAATATAAGTTTAAATCCATTTTCACGTAGCTGAAGAATAAATTATTTATAATGTAAATCAAATCCTAGAAAGACCGGCCAAACATATAAGTGAATATTGCCCAGCTCTCTGGAGGGATGAGAACCTTCCAGTCTTTAAAATGACTGAGGAAATCAAAAAGGGAAAGGAGACTGATTTAACTATTTTTAAAAAAACCTTCTATACCAACAAATCAAAATTTTTAAAATATGACATATAAAATTTTTAAATTTCTACGTGAAAAAAAGTATAAGCAAAGTCATGACAAAAGCTAAACAGGGATGGACATTTCATAGGCTGGACTGCTTGAATTTAGAAACCTCTCGTACAAGTAAGTGAGAAAAAGAGTGAAAGCCTAACAGAAAAATGGGCAAAAGCTGTACATGAAAAGGACATTCCCAGAAAAAGAATTTAAAATGAACAAGGACTATATGAAAAATGTCCAACCTCACTCATAATTAAGAAATGTAAGTAAAAACAATAAGATGCACTTTTTTACCTATCGAATTGGCCAATATTTTAAAGTTTGAAAATACCTAAATTTATGGAGAAATAGCCATACTCAAAGACTGTTAGAGGGAGTATAAATTGGTCTACTCCATTCCTTTTCTTGGCTGTATAATACTCCCTGTGTGGATGTCACACATCTTATTTGAGTCTCCATTTACAGACATTTAGGGTTGCTGGGGTGGGTTTTTTTTCCCTATTTTTTAGGTATAAAAGGCAGTACTATGATGATCATCCTTGCACACACATCTTTGCATACATATGTGAATATATTTGTAGGAACAATTCTTGGCAATGGAATTATTCAATGAATGGACCTTTGCATTAAAAGTTTTGATAGATACTGCCAAACCGTTTTTCCAATTTACACTCTGGCCAATTGTGTGTGAGAACATTTGTGTCCCTATATCTTCTCCAGCACTTAGAATTATAACATTAAGGTTGTTTTGTGGGGCCGGTCCCATGACCGAGTGGTTAAGTTTGCATACTCTGCTTTGGCGGCCCAGGGTTTCACCAGTTCGGATCCTGGGCATGGACATGGCACCGCTCATCAGGCCATGCTGAGGCAGCGTCCCACACAGCACAACCAGAAGGACCCACAACTAGAATATACAACTATGTACTGGGGGGCTTTGTGGAGAAGAAGAAGGAAAACAAAAAAGAAGATTGGCCACAGACGTTAGCTCAGGTGCCAATCTCAACAGAAAAAAGAGAGGAAACAAAGATTGTTTTGTTAAGTATGTTTTTAAAAAACAAAGAACAGGGCAGGAATGGACAGGAATTACAAATTGTGGTACAAACGTAAGAAATTTCTTTTTAGTTCTGCCTTTGCCACTTACCTGCCACGAGATACTTGGGGCGTCTCCCCCCTGCTCTGGGCCTCAGTATCTCCGTCTGTAAAATAAGAGGAATGAAATAGATTGACGCTCCTCAAGCCTACTCGTCCTATCACGAAGAGGAGCGAGTCAGTGTTCCCTGTGAGTGTCCGGGGTGGTGAGGCAGGTGAGAGGTGCCCCCTGACCACTCTTCCATCCCACACACCAGAGACACAGCCACTTCAGGGTCTGCAGCACAGCCCACCCAGGCAGACAGGGCTTGGGTCTCATTCTCCATCTGTGGACGAGGAAGGTCAGGAAGCCAATTTCTACTCTGTTAGAGAGGTTATTGTTTTTCTGCCAGGAGGAAGGCTGGACCGCAGGGCTGGCTCTCCCGGCGTCTCAGGTGTGTGCTATCCAGCATTGATCTGGTCACAGCCCTTGCTCAAAAACCATCGGTGGCTCCCCAGTGATTGCAGGAGGAAAGCTAAACCCCTTGATTGATTCCGGCCTTGAGCCTCCAGGTTCCGGCCCCACCTCCCTCTGTGGTCTGGCCAGACACACGGTCTCCACCACCCACAAACTGAGCCTTGAACACACACTTTATCTGGGACTTTCCCTCCTCCTGTGCTGGCTCACCTGCGAAGTTCTCCTGTGTACCTCTAACGACTTCCTCTGACACAATTGTCTGCGTCCTTGCACGTAATCTGCGGTGTGTAATCTGGCATAAGAATCAAAGGGCACAGGATCCACAGGAAAATTCCACAAGCCTTCGTCAAACCTTTTTGGCTTAGCGAACCTTAGAGAAAAAAAAAGCATGAATATTCATAATAGGGCAAAGTATAATTCCCATCAAGGTTGGGTACGTATATATGTGTGGAAAAAAGATCGGAAGGAAATACAGTATACCAAAATGCTCTCATCTTCGAGTACCTTTATAATAATAACATGGATGATGATGACAAGGATAGCTGACACTTACAATTTACACGTAGGACTTTTATAATCCGAAGAACAACTTTCGTTTTTAGAGGATTCACGCTAAATAGTGATAGATGGAGAATTATTTTCATGCAATTAAAAGGTAGGTTCTGGACTCAGACGGATGAGGTCAGACCCCCTAACTTCCCCATGGTCCCCTCCTCTCCTGCTCATACCCCCACCCCTGCAGCCTCCCTGCAAACTGGGCCCGACACCTGCCTCCAAGAGCCCAGGTCAGCACCAAACTAGGACCCCACCTCCCAGGAGCCTCCTCCCCACACCTGTGCAAGCTTCTGGGGCTACCTGGCAGCAGGGTGGTGGTTAGCAGTCCTGGCCCTGGAAATGAGACCAGCCCTGACCCTGCGGTTTGCCCCTCTGTGAACTTGGCCAAGGGACTCCTTCCTCTGTGCCTCAGTTTCCCCGTCTTTAAAATGGCCATCATGGTAGACCCCCCTCCTTTTTAGACAAGTGTGAGAATGAAATGGGATGAGTGTAGAAAATCGCTGAACCCAAGGCCTGGCACCGAGTAGGCGCTCAATACACAGGCGCTATCGTCATAATACTTATCGCTACTTGTTACTAATTTGTTGGAGGATGCTAAAAGGCAGCGGACAGGCAGTCCCCTCAAATAAGGACTTATTTAGAAGTCCTCTGGACCGAGGCCCAGAAAACCAGAATGTTAAAAGGATAAATAAAGAGTCTCCAAGAGCCGGACAAAGTCTGGGACGGCGCGGGGGAGGGGACCCGGCCAGAGAGAGGGGTTAAGCCTCGGACAATGGGCGCCGTCTGAACTAACCAGGGCCGCTTCTTTGAGTCGTGAGAAGAGCTATTTTCTTGTTTAAAGCCTTAAAGAGCTATTAAGCTGGGCAAATCGCTGGTAAAACAGCTGGAAACCTAAGTAGCAATTTAAACAGCCATTGCCCTCCCATCCCGGGCTGGAATGCGAGCCGCCGGCCGGCCGGGCTCCGGCCCGACATTGTCTGGACTAAGAGGATTGAGCGGGGGACCTCTCCGCGGGCTCTTAATGCAGCCCGGAGCTTTATTTAGCAAATCCACAATTTCCACCCCACCCCCCCTCCTCTTTTTTTTTTTTTTAAGTGAGCAGACCGAACTCTAATTTTCCCCCTTTTCTCTCCCGAGCCCCCTTGAATCGGCCCATTCTTTCATTATGTGGAACTAATGAAGGCCTCGCAGCGGCCCTGCTCAGGCTGGGCCCGTAAATAAAACATGTTTCATTGATCAACTTCAAAAAGTCCCGGCGGGGCTGCGGGGGGCGGGGAGCGGGGTGGCCGGGGTGGGGGGGGGTCTCGGCCGCCGGGCGGCGCGGGAGGGACCGCGGGAGGGGGGCCGCGCATCAAGCCTGTTTCTGTGCCCCATCTGCGTGTTTGTTTTGCGGCCAGCGACTCTGCAGGCGCCGGGGCCGCCCGCTGAAGCCCCCCCCCCCCCCCCCCCCCCGTTCACCCGCCTGGACGGAAGGCAGGGCTGCTTGCTCTAAATGTTTTATTTTATTTTTTCTTAATCTCTCCACAAATAAAAACGGGGGTCCACCACACAGAGCTCGGGCCCTGGAGCCGTCCCCCAGTGAGATGTGTTCGCCAGCTTCAAGCTTCCGCTAACGTCCCTTCCAGCGACATCCCGAGGCCCCGGGGCGGGGGGCGGGGGGCGGGGGGAGGCACATGAGGGACCCAGACGGGATCACGCGGGGCCGCCCAACCGGTGGGAGCACGCAGTCTGAGGCAGGGGACACCAGAGCCCACGAGCCTCGACTCCCCGCCTTCAGCAATCGGTGAGCACCTATTGGGTGTCTCTACTGAATCATTTCATTTTTATGGATTTTTCTTTTAAATTGCAAAAGCAGTGACTGTAAAACAATTCCATGACACACACGGGGACGCAATAAAAAGTCAAAGTTCCCACTGGGGTCCTCCTCATTCCGCTCCCTGGAGGACACTGCTGTTCACATTGCATGTGTCCCTGTGTCGCCTTTTGAGACTTCTGAGGAATACACACACGCCAGCAGAGAGGTTTTTCAGTTTGTTGTGTTTCTGCAAACACAGGGTCACCGGCAGATCCTGTTTTAAAGCTTGCTTTCGTCACAATGGAGCAGGAACCTCTTTTCAAGATGGTCCTTAGTGGCTGGACATTAATAATCCGTTGTATGTCACCATAATTTACTCAGCCATTCCCCTACTGAAAGATATTTAGGTGGCTTCAGGTTTCCCTTGTGGCTTAATGATCATGTGCTGCGTACCTTCAAACGGGTGTCTCTGTCCATGGACAAGTATTTCTGTAGAGATCGCTGGATGGGCAACCGTGAACTCGAAGGTAGTTGCATTTTATTTTATTTTTCCTTTTTATACAATCTATGGAGTAAGGTGCATAAGATTCACTCATGTTAACTATTCGGCTCCATTCATGTTACACAGGAATGTATCTGTGTGATCCCACCCAGACCAACATACAGAACATTTACAGCACCTCCAGAAGGCTCCCTCCCGGTCCATCCCCCACCCTAGAAGTAAAGAAGGAGCATTTATTTATTTATTTATTTTTTTGGTGAGGAAGACTGGCCCTGAGCTGACATCTGTACCCATCTTCCTCTATTTTATGTGGGATGCCTCCACAGCATGGCTTGATGAGCGGTGTGTAGGTTTGCCACCAGGATCCGAACCTGCAAACCCCAGGCCACAAAGCAGAGCACACGAACTTAACCACTATTCCACTGTCTGGCCCCACATTTAAAACTTTGACAGATAAACTCTCCACGAAGGCTGCTCCAGTTTACCTCCCACAACAGTGTCCAGGACTGTCTGTCTCCCAACAAGCTCGCCAGCACTGGGTGTTACTAACCATGGTCTTTTTTGCTGATCCTATTGACCTAGATGGCCCTTTCGGTGGGAGTGAAGCTGGACTTTTTTCTCCCCAGCAATACTCTACCCTTTGGGAATTCCTCTTCTGTAAATTGCCAGTTCACATCTTTTGCCCGTTTACTGTAGTCCCCGAAGAATTATTGTCTTGGCCACCCAGAAGCTTGGGGCTGGGCTCAGTCCCTCCGCTCCCCGCAGTCTGCTTCACATGTCCAAACTCTTCACCCTGTGAGTTAAAGAAGAATTTAAATGTCCTCCTTTGTCTGCTGGTATTTTTACCCTGAAACACCTCAGACACATCACTTCCCCTCTCTGAGCCTCCGTTTCTCCAGCTGTAAAATGGGGAGAGTCACATCCTCACGGCAAGCGTGTTTGGGGAGTGGAGTGAGGCTGTGAACGACTGGCCAGTATCAAGAACTTAGTGAACAGTACCCGCAAGAAGGGTGGCCAGCCCAGCCTTTACCGGGTTCTCCCAGCCCTGTCTCTGGTTCCAAAATGGAGCCCTGGAATTGGATTCCTGTTGCCAGAAGGCAAGGAAGGACTGGGGATTTAGAGGCTCCGGGCCCCATAGTGGGGAGGCCCCCAAAGTTTACTTGAAACCAGTTCTTTCAGACCCTTGTGATCAAAAAAGGGTCTAGGCTGGGAGCTGGCCCGGTGGTGCAGCAGTTAAGCGCACATGTTCCACTTCGGCGGCCCGGGGTTTACCAGTTCAGATCCGGGGTGCAGACACGGCACTGCTCAGCAAGCCATGCTGTGGCAGGCGTCCCACATATAGAGTGGAGGAGGATGGCAACGGATGTTAGCTCAGGGCCAGTCTTCCTCAGCGAAAAGAAGAGGATTGGCAGCAGATGTTAGCTCAGGGCTGATCTTCCTCAAAAAAAAAAAAGAAAAAGGTCTAGGCTGTTTCCCAGAGTGTTCCAAAGAGCCTGAACAGGCACCACATGGCTGAAATAGAGGAGGTGGGGGAATCTGGTCAGATCCACTGGAGCACCCTGAGCCGGGCAAAGACGGAGGAGAGCTCTGCCGCAGGATCTCCCAGAGCCCTTAAAATGCTACCAGCTGGGAGGACCCTCCAAGAGGATGGGGTGTAGGTAGAGCGAGGGGGCTCCCAGGTGGGTTGACCCTGGACTCTCTCAGAGAAAGTTGCCTGCAGAGAAGACTCGGGTGGAGTTAAACAAATGCTTTAACCCTGTTTGCAGCACCCCACCCAGGCCAGAGGGATCTTTCTAGAACACAAATCTGTCCTGTCATTCCCTTGTCTAGAGCCCCCCTGTGGCCCCCACCACCTCCAGGATGAAGTCAGAGCACTGGGTAACCCACCAGCCTCTCTCTGTTCCACGCCTTTGCCTCCAGGCCCGCCAACCCCTTTGCAGTTTCCTCTGCTTTTGGTGTGTTTTGCACTTGGAACGCTCTTCATCCCCAGCCACCTGTTGAACTCCTCTTCATCCTACAAAACCCGACTTACCTCTTCTGGGAAATTTTACCCTCACACACGCCCTCCTCCTCACCTCGCCAGGCCTGAGTTGACGCCTCCTTCCTTTATCTTAAAACTTCACCTTGTACAGCCCTCAGATATCTCTCCGAGAGGTAACTACCTACTCATTTCTGTCCCTGATTAGACTCTAAGCTCCCACAGGGCAGAAGCTGTGCCCAGAACAGTGCGCAGCATACAGCAGGTGCTTGGTAAATGTTTGTTGAATGACTGAGCGCACGTTGCTCTAACACAATGTCACCCAAACAAAAGCACAGTGCTTTGATGGTAGTTACGTGACTCTCTTCTCACTGAACTCTGCAGAATCGATTATTCAGGACCAGAAACGCGAAGAGGAAGTTAAAGCCCACCCATTGGTCTGGCAGAGAAGATATCTCCAAAAATGCCACTGTCCCTTAGGCTCCGGTGAGGCGGCGTCCTTCAGCAAGTCCTTCCTGGGAATGTCACGGTAGCAGAGGACAGCATCCCTTTTCCTATGCCCCACTCTTGGAGGGTGGAGTTCTGGCTGCTCTTCGAGGCCTAGTGTCAATGCCACCTCCTCCAAGAAGCCCTCAAGGAGACACACAACAGGTTCTCAGCAGAGGTTTCCTTTCTTCTTCCTTGTCTCCTAGAGCAGACAGCTGCTGTGCCTGCACCTGGCCTCCAGGACCCCTTCTGGCCATGGCACTCCCTTTGGAAACTCACCAACCTCCTGTGGCCTGCAGGCTGGGGGGTTCATCAGACAAGGCATCCGAACCAGCCCGCCCAAGGTGGGCACACGACCCTAGCTTGACCCACTAGACCCCCTCCTGGGGACTGGAATCTTGATTCAAGGACAGAGACGCATTGGAGCGGACCCGTCCCGGCCCTGGAGAGCACGGCCCTAGTTCCTGCTGCCTGAATCCTGAGCTGTCCTGGTCCTGTCCCTTCTGAGGCCTGTGTCTTAGATCGTCCTTTTTTTCTTCAGTAAGATGTCCACCTCCTTCCAACAGATTTTGTGTCATTTGTTATCCAGAGCCACACCCTGTCGCTTGCAACCAACGACCTCTAAGCCAGGCTTCTCATCCCACCCAGGATGGCACTCCCTACATTTTTCTCTACGTATGTTTCTTGGCACTTACTCTATCCTTTCTAAGATTTATATCAGTATTTATTGAGT